TTTTTTTTTTTTTTTTTTTTTTTTTTTTTTTTTTTTTTTTTTTTTTTTTTTTTGGTGGTGGTGGGGGGTGGGGATGTGTAGGAATTCTTATGGAGCTTTATTTTTAAAGTATCTTATAGGAGAACGAAGGTCATATAAGTATTGGACCTCTAACCTGACTTTGGTACTGGGTAAAAATCTTAGGAGGCGGAAGAGATGTTTAGATGTATAGATGAATGGCGAACTACACTACCTGGTAGGATACTCCCCTGACAGTCTTGGTGCGAGGAAGTTCAAAATAAATGAGATGCAAAACATTTCAGAGCACACACATGCTCAAGGTTTTCAGAACTCCAATCTCCCCCCACCCCTCTTTTCTATTCAGTGCAGCAAGACTCTGAAGCATACTTCACAAATCTGGCATGACATTCACCTGGTTCAGCATATTTTTCAACACTGCTGCAAGGACAACTCTTTCTCACAAATACATTCCCTCATGTATTCATTCAACTACATCTGCCACCCCATCCCCAACAGTCCCCCTTCTATCTTAAGGAGGGGGTGGCGATAACGAGAGCAGGGTCTCCGGACTTCATTAGTGTTCCTTGGCTCCATCGGCCTTCTTTCTGACTATGTGAATGTCCGCGTAGATTTAGAGAAGATGTCCTGTCAGGGTAGACAAGCCTCTTTCCATCTGGCTCTGACCGGGAATGCTGTCCCTGGTGCTGAACCATGTTTGCCCAACAGGGAATAGGCTGCCGGGCCAAAGGGGCTGGATAAAAAACCTGGCTGACTGACCTTAAGAATGGCCAGGTGCAGGAGCAAGCGATACATTAGTGCACAGAACAGAGCCGCCCCCCACTCCAGCTCCTCCTTCACACATATCTATGGGGTGTGCGCCAGGACCTCATTTGCAATTTTCTCCTCCAGACCCCCACCCAAAACGCCTTCAACATGGCCTCAAACGCCGGCTTTATCAGCACAGCCCACCTCAGCATCACATTGCAGTAAAGCCAAAATGCTACTCCCCAAAGTGTTAATCAGGTTAGCTTTTCCACTCTAAAACAAAACAAAAATCCAATAAATTAATAAATAAACAAAAGTGACCTTCCTCTTTCCTTCCTCTCGTTCCCGCCCCATATATTCACTCTCCCCTGAATTATAAAGCCCCAAATCCGAGGAGACTGTTTTGAATCTGGGTGGTCTCCCTATTTCCTCATACCCACCCCTTCCCCCACTTCTCCAGAAAAAAAACGACGCCAGAAAGGGCACATCTTACCCCGGGTAGAATGATAGCAGGAGCAGAATCCACGCCGTCATTTTCTGTGAAAATACAGGAGTCGAGTAGACTGAGCTTCCTGTGCTCCACATATTTGGCGAACTCATCGCCTTTTTTTTTTTTTTTTTTCTTTTCACTCTCGCCTCTTGCTTCTTGCAGAAGAATCCCTCCCCTTTGTATTATTATTATGCTTATGATCCGATGGTGGCTCCCCCCGCCCCCTGCCTCTAGTAGGTCCCGTCACTGGGGAGATGTATTGCTACCAGATTCAGGAATTAATATTCAGGGGGCAGAAATAGATCAGCACCAGCGCTTGCAGATACCATCAAAGCGTCAGCTCAGGCAGAGGCTTCCAAGTACGGGGAATAATATAATTAAGGCAGGGGGAGGGTGCAGGGAGAGACACACACCCAGACAAATAAGGGAGAGAAAAGCGAACACATTGGTAAGGATACTCATGCCCCTCACACTCACGCGTACTCCCCCAGGTCCATCGTGTTATATTTGTTTATTTGTTTGCTTTGTTTTGATTTTTCTTTTAGAGGGGACAAGGCTGTGTGTGTTTGTGTGCGTGTGTGTGTGTGTGTGTGTGTGTGTATTTAAAAGAAACAGAAAAATCACTAAAGGATCTGTGTGATTAATTTTTCTTATGATCCGATGGTGGCTCCCCCCGCCCCCTGCCTCTAGTAGGTCCCGTCACTGGGGAGATGTATTGCTACCAGATTCAGGAATTAATATTCAGGGGGCAGAAATAGATCAGCACCAGCGCTTGCAGATACCATCAAAGCGTCAGCTCAGGCAGAGGCTTCCAAGTACGGGGAATAATATAATTAAGGCAGGGGGAGGGTGCAGGGAGAGACACACACCCAGACAAATAAGGGAGAGAAAAGCGAACACATTGGTAAGGATACTCATGCCCCTCACACTCACGCGTACTCCCCCAGGTCCATCGTGTTATATTTGTTTATTTGTTTGCTTTGTTTTGATTTTTCTTTTAGAGGGGACAAGGCTGTGTGTGTTTGTGTGTGTGCGTGTGTGTGTGTGTGTGTGTGTGTGTGTGTGTGTATTTAAAAGAAACAGAAAAATCACTAAAGGATCTGTGTGATTAATTTTCACGCAGATTAACTGTGAGGTCAAAGTGGAAGTGATGCCTGCTGCTGCAGCACGGATTAACA